TGCATCCTTTATGATGAGATTCCTAGGTCTTCTTTCATGTATGATGTCATTTTTCTCTGACTACTTTCAGGATTTTTTCTACCTCTTTACTTTTCAGCAGATTGTGTTGTGTCTGGGTGGGGTGTTTTGAGCTTCTTCGATGTGTGTTTCACAAAGCTGTGAAATTTTCAGCCATGTTTCTTCACTAACCTTTTTCACCCCTCCCCCAGGGAATCCAATAGAGTAAGTGTTACAACCTTAGATAGTGTCCCACAGTTTTCTGAGGGTCTATTAATTCTTTTTTTTGAAATACTTTAGTGTGTTTTAAGTGAAAGTATACACAGCAAATTGGGTTCCCATTTAACAATTTTTATACAAATTGTTCAGTGACATTTTCACAATGTGTCAGTCTTCTCATTATTTTCATTCTGTTTGTTCTGTTTCCATTGATCTAGCTTCTCTTCCCCTCCTTGTCGTCTCATCTTTACTTTTAGGAAATGTTGACCTTTTGGTCTCATATAGTTGATTGTTTAAGGGAGCAGATTACTCATAGGTGACATTGTTTGTTTTATAAACCAATGTATTACTTGGCTGAAAGGTGGCCTCCAGGAGTAGCTTCAGTTCCAAGTTCAAGGGGTATCTTAGGGCGATAATTTCCGGGGTTCCTCTAGTCGTTGTTGGTCAAGTATGTCTGACCTTCTTTATGAATTTGAGTTTTGTTCTACATTTTTCTCCCATTCTATCTGGGACCATCTATTGTGTCCCTTGTCAGAATAGTCAGTAGTGGTAGCCAGGCACCATTTGTTCTCCTGGTCTCAAATTAGAAGAGGCCGTGATTCATGTAGGATATTTGTCCCATCGACAAGTTTCTTCGAGTCTTTGGTTTCCTGCATTCTCTTTTGCTCCAGACAAACAGAGACCAATAGTCATATCTTAGATGGCTGCTTACAAGCTTTTAAGACCGCAGACACTACTCACCAAACTAGAATGTAGAACGTTATCTTTATGAACTTGTTGGTGTTGTTAGGTTTCATCGAGTTGGTTCCAACTCATAGTGACCTTGTGTACAACAGAGGGAAACACTGCCCAATCCTACACCATCCTTACAATCACTGAGCTCATTGTTGCAGCCATGGTGGCAGTCCATTTCGTTGGGGGTCTTCCTCTTTTTCCATGACCTTCTACTTTACCAAGCATTATGTCTTTCTCCAGGGACCAGTATCTCCTGATAACTTGTCCACAGTATATGAGACAAAGTCTTACCATCCTCACTTCCAAGGAGCATCCTAGCTCTACTTCTTCCAAGACAGATTCGTTTGTTTTTCTGGCAGTCCATGGTATATTCAGTAATGTTTGTCAACACCATAATTGAAAAGCGTCAATTTCTTCTTGTCTTCCTTATTCACTGCGCAGCTTTCACATGCATGTGAAGAGATTGCAAATACCATGGCTTGGGTCAGGAGTGCCTTAGTCCTCAAAGTGTCATCTTAGCTTTTTAACACTTCGAAGAGGTTTTTTGAAGATTTGCCCAATGCAATACGTCATTTGGTTTGTTGACTGCTGCTTCCATGGGCATTGATTGTGGATCAAGTAAAATGAAGTTCTTGACAACTTCAGTATTTTCTCTGTTCATCATGATGTTGTTTACTGGTCCAGTTTTGAGGATTTTAGTTTTCTTTATGTTGAGATACAATCCATACTGAAAGCTGCAGTCTTTGATCTTCATCAGTAAGTGCTTCAAGTTCTCTTCACTTTCAGCAAGCAGGGTTGTGTCATCTGCATGTCACAGGTTGTTAATGAGTCTTCCTCCAATCCTGATGCCCCATTCTTCTTTCTATAATCCAACTTCTTGGATTATTTGCCCAGCATACAGATTGAATAAGTATGGTGAAAGGATAGAACCATGACACACATGTTTCCTGACTTTAAACCATGCAGTATCCCCTTTTTAGAGTAATGAAAATGTTCTAATATGGACTGTGGTCGTGTTGCACAACTTGTGAATCTACTAATGACAATTGAATTGTACACTATAAATGTGTGAATTGTATGATATGTGAATTATATCAATAAAGTTGTTAATTTTTTTTAAAGGTGAAGTTGTAAAACTATTTCTTAAAACCTCAGAAAGATCTAGGGAGCTGCCTTAGACAGCTGTTCAAACCAAAGAGCTTATAAGTAGTTTAAGTGTGCTGACCTTTGGCCAACTCAACATAAGCTCAAAGCAAAGAAGGGCTTATCTCAAAGATATTTGTGGGTGTGGATTTTTTTTTTGATGAAATGTACCCCCAAAAAAGATTCACAGGAGACCTACACAGTTTTTACGTGAATTGCATTATCAGAGATACTGCCAGTTGCAATGAATGGGACAGAGACAGTACAAAAAGGAAAGGAGGCCTTTGGACTGCCAAACTTCTATGGGACAAGAGCAGGTTAAGAAATAATGCAGGTATAAACATGAGGACCTTTTGTGGAAAAACAAAGATAAATCAGATGGCAGATCCAAAAGCCATGAAATTATTTCCAGACCTTGAGTTATAATCAAGGAACATCCAATTTAGGCTTGCTGAAAATGAAAGACCTAAAGACAATTGACACATTTGAATTATAGTGTTGGCAAAGAATATTGAATTTGGACTGCCAGAAGGAACAAATCTGTCTGGGAAGAAGTACAGTCAGAACGCTCATTAGAAAGGATTATTAGACTTCGTCTCAAGTATTTTGGACATGTTATCAGGAGGGACCAATCCCTGGAGAAGGACATCATGCTTGGTAATATAGAGGATCAGGGAAAAAGAGGAAGCCCCTCAACAAGAGGGACTGACACAGTGACTGCAACAGTGGGCTCCAACTGTGAGGATGATGCAGGACCGAGCAACGTTTTGTTCTGTTATACATAAGGTCGCTATGAGTAGGAACCCACTTGACAGCACCTAGAAACAACAATTATTCTTGTATATCTGCTATATTTCCCCTTTTTTGAATGAGTGTCTAGAGCAGTTATTAATATATGTTGAGTGTTTGTAGGTGGGTATGGGCAATAATTTCTCTCTTGGGCTCACAGGACTTCAGAATAAGAGGAGCTGCCCTCGAGGAGTTGGACTTAAGAAAGTGAATACTTAGATGACAAGATTCTGGATTTTGAGCAGATGCTGTAATAGCATGAAAGTTTGGGGTATCTTGGGAAAAGATGTGTGATTTTGCTGGTAGGAGGGTGTGATGGTTAAGATTGTGTGTCAACTTGGCTGGGCCATGATTCTCAGTGTTTATATGTGATCACTCCCATGATTGAATATGCTGTGAGGAGCCAATCAGATGAAAGGGAGTTTCCTTGGGAGTGTTGCCTGCATCTGAATATAAGCGGACGTTCTGGGGTTTTGCTCACTCTGGATCCTGCAGCCGCCTCCTGTCGTCTCACCTCCGGTTCTTGGGACTTGAGCTGTCAGCTTGCATGCCGAACTAGAGATTTGTTGATCTTCACAGCCTGTGAGCAGGAGCCCTGCTCTCTGACCTGCCAATCTTGGGCTCACCAGCTTCTGTGGCTTAGTGAATTGGGAGAGGCCCCTACCCTGGTCCATGGACTTGGGATGTTCTAGCCTCTAGAATCGCATGAGCTGTTTCCTTGATATAAATTTCTCTATATACATATTTATATGCTTTACTGGTTTTGCTTCTCTAGACAACCCAGCCTAAGACAGAGGGACATAAATTATTGGTGACAGAGGTGGACTGTGGTAGCCAGCCTTCAAGATTCTTGCCTCCGG